AAGAAGAAGAAGAAGAAGAAGAAGAAGAAGAAGAAGAAGAAGAAGAACAACAACAACAACAACAACAACAACAACAACAACAACAACAACAAAAATCTGGGCACAAGGGCCTTTTCTGAAAACTGATACTCCAATATTAAGGGCCATTCATGGAGATAACCTAGAATCCCTGCACAAATGTAGCCCATGGCAGCTCAGTGTCTAAGTGAGTTCCCTAGTAAGGGGAACAGGGACTGTCTCTGACATGAACTCTGTGGCTGGCTCTCTGATCACCCCCCCCACCCCCAGGGAAGAGCAGCTTTACCAGGCCACAGAGGAAGATAATGCAGCCAGTCTTGATGAGACCTGATAAGCTGGGTCAGATGGAAGGGAAGGAGGACCTCCCATATCAGTGGACTAGGGGAGGGGCATGGGAGGAGATGAGGGAGGGGGCTATAGCCAGGATACAAAGTGAAAAGTGAATAAATTTTAATAAATAAAAAAGTAAATTTAAAAAATTGCAAAAAAAATAAACCACAAAAAAACAGGCCACACAGACACATTAATTCATATGGATGGATAATAAAATGAGCGAGGGGATGGATACAGACTGTACTGCTTCCTTTGGTGACACCAGTAAATACCTATGCAGATGTCACCACTTTAATCAAGTCTTCCCACCAGAGCAGCTTAGTATAAAATAATTTAATTTGGATGTATGCGTTGTTTAGTAGCTTGGTAAACTTTCCTGGTATAGCTAGCTATCATTCATTCCCCTGCCTTCCCCCACTCCCACTGCCAAAATTTTGGAATTTTACTCATTTCATAACATCAGTACCAGATGCAAATGGGATGATGAGCAATGAGTTGGAAACAACAGTGACTCAGATTCCAGAGTTCCTGAGGTCTGAGTATCTGATCAGATACAGCATTGGCATTTCTCAGTTGCCCATTAAGCAGCCTAAGACGACATTCTCCCCTTGGACTAGCAAATCCCAGTATCCGAGGCCACCAGAATCGTGCAGTCTACTTAAAAGGAAAACAGGGCAGGGAGAGAGGGGCAAGTATGAGTGCTGTTTCAAGAAATGGTTGGTAGTTGGCTGTGGCTGCAGCTTAGGGGTGGTTTGTGGAAGGCCTGGGTTGGCTCCTCAGCACTGGGGTGGGATGGGGATGGGAACCCAGTAATTAAATCCACTGGGGTTTTGTGTGTGTGTGTGTGTGCTAGCATACAATTTTTTTTTAAATTAAAATGCATTTTAAAGAAGCAATGGCGGCTGAGAAACATACAGGCAATGTCCACACTGGCCTCGGGAAAGCTGAGAGCTACAAACTGAAACCCTGCTGAGACTCTCACTCCAAGTCAGCTTGTCTCTGCTTTGCTCTCTCTGCTCCCTGGTCCCACCTGGAAGTAGCTTTGTCAGGAATATGTCTGTCCTTATTCTCTATTACTGGAATTGTTCTGTTAGGGTTGATGAGAATCACTTGAGATTGTGGTAGTGAAGAGTTTAAGTTAGCCTGGGTATAGTTAGCCTGAGTATGCCTCCATTTTGAAATAAGGAGCCATCTTGACCGGGAGCTGAACTCAGGTACCAGAATGTGCACCTGGCAGAAAACAAAGTTAGCTCTCCAAGCAACGGCCTCCAGGAAATATCACAGAATAAATGTTTAGTAAAAAATAGAGACAATCTCCCTGGCAATTATGATTATGTAAACAGTCACCTCTCCCCTATGGCTTTTACCCAATTCTGTAATGTCAAGGCACGAACCCACCTGCTTTCTGTCATGGAAACATGTCCTCCCCCCTCCCCGCTTGCTGTTATAGGAACCCCTGCTCACAGACTTTCCCTTTAAAAATCCTGCTCACTCAGAGCTCAGGGTCCCACTTCTCTACTGCTGTATCAGTGACACTTGGGTCCCGAGTTCGATCGCTCTCGTAATAAAGCTCTCTTGCTATTGCGTTGAGTTGTCTCCTGGTGGTCTCTGAGGGTCCCATGACCCTGGCATTGCAGTAGAAGACATAACCTTTGCTGAGTGTAAGAAGTTAGACATATCCATATCTATAGACTATTTAAGATATATTATGATTCTACCAAATTAGGCATTATACATTCCAAAATTGCTTTCCACTCCACATTGTCTCTGTTCACAGCACTGTTGGTTTGTTTCTTATCTATTTCAGTTCTTCGGTTTTTCTTATAGAGTCAATCTCAAGGTCTCATTGAGTCTTAACTCAAAAGCTTCATGGGTAATTCTGAATAACTGCTGAAGGTGATTTAGTTCATAACAAAAGCATGTATTATTTAACCTATATCTATAGGAAAAAGAAAGAATCTCATCAGAAGCCAGGGATGGTGGCTCATGCCTGTAATTCCAGCATGTGGCAAGCCGAAGCACAATATGATTGTAAATACAAGCCCGGCACAGGTGAGTTCTAGGCTAACCCAAGCCGCATAGCAAGACGCTGTCTGGTGTGTGTTATATGAAGGACGGGAGATAATAGGCTCCAAAAGTAAATAAAAACCAAGTCATTAGAAAGCCTGGTAAGATTACCCTTTTCTATATCATGACAGAGGCAGCTGAGAGCTAGGCAAGCTGAATTACATATGTAATCCCTGAGTCCTGTACTTGTTCATTTATTCACACACACACACACACACACACACACACACACACACACACACACACATATTTGCTGATCCCTCTTTTAAATTTTCATGTGTATGGGTGTTTGACCTCTACTTTTGTCTGTGTACCACGTGCATGCCGAAGCTATATCCGCCAGAAGAGGGCATCAGATCCTTTGGAATAGTTATAGTTGGTTGTGAACCACTGTGAGTGCTCCAAGTCAAACTTCTGAAAGAGCAACCCTTGACCCCTGAACCATCTCTCCCGCCCCTATTTGCTGAACTCTTGCCACAAACTGTTTAAGAACCTCGTGAAAGGGTAAACATCCAAGCCAGAAAAACCTCAAAAAAAAAAAAAAAAATCTCTGCCGAGACATACACAGATGTATAAAATATAAATTTCTTTACAAAAAAGAAATTAAATCTGAAAATATATAACTCTTAAGTTGTTTCACACTCGGTTCACTTAAAAATTCACTCTCAGTTGCCCTTCTAGCCCTTTTCAGCTTGGGGACCACACTCCTCTTCAAGAGATACCACTTAAGGAAAAGAACAGAAATTCACGAGAGTGGGCGGGACTTGACTATTGGGGGGTGGGGAGGACAGACTGCGGAACTGAAGTTCCGGGGGTTGTGGTGCTCAGTGGGAAGCCAGTCGGAGGGACCGGTAGTGGAACGCTCTGAAGCCGTTTCCGGCCACCTCAGCGGGAAGCGGAGACGCCAGCCGCTTAGCTGTCGGGGAGCTGAGCTGGGGGTGTAACTAGCCACCGCGGGCGAAGGGAGGGCAGTGAGTGAGGCGGCCCGGGTCTCCGGAGTCAGGGAAGATGGTGCTGCTGACGATGATCGCCCGCGTGGCGGACGGGCTTCCCCTGGCCGCGTCGATGCAGGAGGACGAACAGGTAAGCTGCTGCCGGAGCCCCGAGCCCGCCAGCCCCTTCGAGCTCGCCGTGCTCCCAGCGGTGGCTTCCTTCCTTGGGCCGGCGGGACCCCAGCGACCTCGGAGGCCCTGGCCGCCCCCCAGCGCTCTTCTCCCGTTTGCTCGTGGAGAGGCTGTCTGGGAGAAGAATCCTGGTCTAAGGGGTCAGTGTTTGGTGTGACCTGTTCTCCCTTCAACAAACGCTGTGAAGAGGGGTATCTTTGTCTAGTTGTAATCACCCAGTTTGCGATGACTTTTTAGGGACTTTCTTCAAATTCAGGGCTTTAATTTTCGGCTGCCCCTAAGGCTGCTGGCTGATACATCTGGGGAAGAGCAACCCCTCATTTCTGCACCCCGTTTTCCTGTAGCACCTGATCCTTGACCTAGCCTGATGACATCTGCTGAAAGTGGATGAAGTAATAGTGACATTTAGAAAGCTGTCAAGGTTCAGGACTGCGCCTACGTTCACAGTTATGCCTGATTCGCACCTGCTCTATTAAAGCATATTGTTCAGATGAGCGCAAGAACATGATCTGAACAAAGGAAGGTGGGGTGGGTCTTAGAGAACACGTACTTTGACAAGTATTTTTCCCGTGAAGGGTAGCAGTCGGGGTCAGAGGGGCAAAATCTGGTCAGCTGCATTGCTTTCTAATGAAGGAGAGGGATCAAAGTAGATTTGAAATGCTATTTAATATTAGTGGACCCTTACACTCTGCTTTGATAATTTCCTGAAAAATTTGTTGAATGTTTCTTGATTTTAAACATGGTTATTTCTTTGTTATTGATCTGTCAAAAGGAGTTTAATTGATGAGAAATTCTCCACAGAAACATTTGTGTGTGTGTGTGTGTGTGTGTGTGTGTGAGTGTGTGTGATTCTGTCATTTTCCTTTAGTAATTTTGATTTTACATAGGTTCTTTTCTCAACTTTTAAGGTCTGCAAAGCCAGCAGTCTTAGATTTTTTTCCATCATAATGTCGTACAGAACATTGTAAAGTGCCTAGGGCACGACCAAAGGGTCCTGGGTCTGCCACGTGCAGTATGTCTTCATCCTCATCACCCGTGTTACAGTGTGTGCTCCTATTACCCTTCATAGAGAAGGAGAATGGGAGGCTTACAGAGAACAGGCCACTTCTTAAAGTCACACAGCTAACAAGTAGGGTACTGGAATGTGTCACGGGTTTTGTTGGTTTGTTTTGGAAGTTGATCTGTTTTTAACCTACCGTGTTCACATTTGGGGCTGGATGATTCTTTGTTGTGAGAGGTTGTCCTGTGCCTTGTGGAGTCCCCGTCCTTGGTCTCCACTTCTAGATGGCAGTAGTACATTTCCTGCCCTGTTGTTCTAACAACTCAAACTACTTTTAGACATTTCCAGAAGTCGCTTTAGGGACAAAATGAGTCCTGGTTGAGAATTGCTGCTTACAGTAAGCAGTGTTTTATTAAGCTACTGTTTTTTAAAAATCAGTATCAGTTTGGCTCTTAGTTTCTAACCATTATTCTGCACTGCCTTGTTTAAGACTTCTCAACCGCATACTCACTTCCTACTAATATAGAAATAACTTTTTTAAAAATTGGTGCAGGCTCTGTATAGCTAGAGCTTACCTTGAACTGATCCCTCTGCTTTAGCCTTTTGAATGCTACAATTGCAGGTATACAGCAGCACACCCAACTCAGAAATAACCTAAGACATAGATTGTCTTGACCACATAGTCTTATATTAAGTACTGAAATTGTCAGAGCCAGAGTAACTCATTTGTGCTGCTAGGTTATTTACTAGGCACCAGCCCTATACAGGCTCTTAGCTGTCTCGGCCCTGAGGAGCGCTGGCTATTCAGATAAGACAGGGAAGAGTGACACACACATGTAAGATAGACAGAGTATTGTACGCACTGGTGGCCGTGTGCTACCTAGAAATGTAGGCTCAGGGCAGGTATAGAGACGAACGTTTCTTCACAGACCCAGACTCTCTGACTGATATTCCTCTTCCTTTCCTCTTCCTTTTTTCTTTTTCTTCTCTACAATGGTATGTTTTTCCTTTTAGGATGTTTGCAGTTTCTTCTGTCTACCTTTTTATTCTACCACAAAATTGCTGCATTTAATTTTGTGCTGGGAGGGCCGTTGAGAGTTGGAAGAGGTGTTGAACTAACCAGTTAGACAATAGGGAACTCCAGTAAAAACAAGTGACCTGTTGTGCAGTTGGACTGCCTCCCTCCACTTATCATTTCAGGGTGCTACTGTAATTGCCAATAGAGGAAAATGAATGGTTCTTGGTTCTTGGTCCAACTGGCCTTTGACCAGCTAAGTTTATCAAGGATTTATAAATGATAAGACCTAGCTAAACATTCTTGGAAAATGCTAGTGATCTTTGGCAACACTGATAGAGGAAGTGGGAGGTGATGGGAGGGGACTCAGATGCACCTTCATGAGGCCGTCCTCCATGATGTCCATGATGGGGAGGAGCTTGGATGCTGTGCGGCAGTTTCGGGGTCACCCATGCTCCTGTAATTAATCTCTCATTGATGCTTAGAAGGTAAGCCTGATGTAGTCATTGGTTTGTAGAACAAAGCCAAAACTGATTTAGAAAGGTAAAAGATGATATTTGGAAGTGCTAGTTGTCCACTAGCCTAGGTGAGACAGGAAAAGCACTGAGATTCTGAGGCAGACCACTGCCTTGTACCTTTTGTAACACAGAGACAATCTTAAATATACCAGATGATCCCAAACATGCTAGTGGGTAACCTCCTGGCAGATTTAGCTGTCTTATTCTCTTCGTTACTGGATTTCTAACATATCTTATAAGGTAGGCAGAGTTTTGATTTCTACATAGACTAGAAAGCACAATCAGGGCATGTAGGTATTTTTAGCTGGGCTAACTGTCTGTGGGCCCTCTGTGACTTTGACGTTGAAAGCAAGCTATGTCTGTAAAGCACAGGTTATGTTTTCGTGGGGTCTCCATCATTTCCTACACAGCTCCTTTAATATTTCCTGTGAATTACATGATTGACAAGACATTGTCTGAAAGGTGGATCTACTGTTGAAATAATTTTAATCATGGACGTGGAATGTCATAGTGCTTGAAGCAGGGGCTGTGTGGTCAGATTATCTAGGTCAAATCATAGCTCTTCCCCTCTATAGGGATGAGTCCTTGCCTATAGGACTCTTAGGGTCCTTGGCAATATTTGTTTCTAAAATATAATACTGGTGTAATAATTCTAAACATATCCTAGAGTGATTATGATGATTAGATGAGTTAAATTATGTAAAGTGTTTAAAATAGTCACTGACAGAAATTGAGCATTAACTTTATTTCTGAAGTATTTTTCCAAATTCTAGCCTGTCTTTAAATTTACAAACAGGGATTGCATGTATTCTTTGCACAAAGATGCAATGAACAGAAATGGATGAATAATTTTTATACAATTAACATTAGAATTAATGTTTATGTAGAAAGTTTACTGACATATCACTAAAATGCTAATGATGTTTATTTCCTATAATCTTTACTCAAATGGTCTCATATGCTTTCCATCCCCCTTTTCCTCTTCTTCCTGTATGTGTGTGGTTAAAATTATATAATGAATTATACTGCAAGACTGACTTTATTTTTTACTTATCAGTTAAAAAAGCTGAATATTGTCTCATATCATTAAATATTCGATAAATAGCCTATTATGTGAATATGCCAGAAAAAAACCAAAATATTATTTAGCCAAGATGATTTTGTTCTTAGGACTGTTAATACCAGCTGAACCAGTATTAGTGTTGGTTGTCATTCTGTAATGTCTATGTAAATTTGCCCTAGTGCACAACATTGCTTTGTGTGTGTGTGTGTGTGTGTGTGTGTGTGTGTGTGTGTGTGTGTTTGTAAATTCTGAAACTGTAGCATGCTCCCAGCTGTTATTTCTTATAATTGGTATGACTTTTAGTTTTGTTCTTTTGGGTTATAGTAATACTTATGTCTTATAAAGTTAGGAGATTTACACTAATTTTTGTTTGTTGTGTTTTTGCTCGTTTGTTTGTGGGTTGGGTATTTTTGCCATTGTTTTTTTTTCAGCTGTGCCTTTAAGGTGTTCATCTGCCTTTAGCAATTGAAAAAATTGTTATTTTATTGGTTTAGGAATAAAGATTGCACATAAGTATTTTTTAAGATCCCTAGGTGAGTCCAATGTGAAGCCAAGGTTGAAAATTATATATAAATTGATCTTTGTTATCACCTAATAATACTTCCAACGTTAGTCACATCCCTTACTTGTGTTGGTTGTGGGTTCAGATCTCTTCATGCCACATAATGGCATGGTGAAGCAAACAGATTGGTAAATACCATTCACATAGGAAAATAGGATGTTATGTACTACTTCTTACTGCCTGAAAGCGTGTGACGTTTACTAACGTGCTGGCTGCCCAGCTGTAGATGGATGTATACATGCATATTGCTTAATATAATGCCAATATAATGTTGTTATAAGGTTCTAGTTATTATAAGGTACTGTTTAATGTGTGAATTGATATAATATCTACATGTATGCATATACTGATACAAAAGCATTTCTCAAATGAGTGGCATTATAACTGTTAACAGATCATTGCCATAGCAGTAGTGCTAAAGGAGATGAATCCACAGCTAATGCACTGAGTGGGCTCTGCCTGACTCTTGCTATTTTGTGCTTATTCGTTACCTCATTTATTTTGATATCTCAGGAAAAATACTTGTATGCCATGTCATTACTGCCTCCTTGTTTGTACTATTAGCTCAGTAGTATACTGTCTGGAAGCTTAATATTTCATGGTGTGCTCCCTCAAAGTTATTCCTAAGACTCAGACTCCGGGAGAACTAATGTGAGCACTTTTATTTCAGTGTTATGAAATATCTACCAAAGGAAAGCTAGTCTGTCTTTCAATGCTAAATAAATAATTACAAAAATGAGATAATTAGTGCTTTCTGTCACATGGCAGTGTGCATAAACTGGGTGGCTTATCAACAACAAAAGATACTTCTCTACGTCTAGACCCAAGAAGTCCAAGATGACAAGGCTCGCAGATTTGGTGTCTGCTTCTCGTTCATAGGTAGCAATTCTGTGTGGGTCTTCATGTGGTACAGGGGCCAAACCTAGCTTTCTGGAATTTCATACAGTGACATCAACCTCAACCGTTAGTGTGCCATCCTCCAAATGCTCCACTTTTTTTTACCATAGGCTTGGTGGTAGAATTTTTGGCATACAGATTTGGGCAGTAGAGATCCTGAGACAATAGCTAGCAGAAAGTCCTCTTCCCCTCCCCAGGAAGAGGGTGAATTGACAATGTGTGTTTGTTTCTCATTCTTCATGTACTGTTTTTCTTCTTTGAATATGGTAGGTTAGTAAGGTCTGACATTTACTCTTTCAAAGTGACACAACCACAGTATACCCCTCCTTTTCTTTCTAATAACTTGTTCAGAGAAATACTAACTATACCATTTGAATGTTACCCTTTTTGCACATATTCCTCTTTATTCAAATTTGTTACCTAAACTGGAGAACCAAATAGATTCATGTAATAAAAGAGAGTTGGCCTTTTTACCTAGTTGCAGTGGTATTATTCATTGATTTTTCAATCACAGGCATACATACATAGTTTTGCTTTAATGCTCTTCTGCCTTTGTGGAAAATTCTGTTGATACTCCAGCATTAAGTGAGATTCATCAGTCGTTGGTTCTCAGAACTCTCTCCAGATTGTGGTGCAGGATACACAGTTACTGACAGTGGCTGAGGAGAAGGGTATTGACCTAATAGTAAAAAGAAGAGTGCCTTACATGTTGTCGACATGCATACTTTTGCTTCTTAGCAATTATGTACCGGGAGCTTGGAAAAACTAGGAGTTAGGTTTTCTTATTTGTTCAAAAGTAAGACCTTTTTTCTTTATTGAAATGAATCTTACATACTGCTAAATGGAGGACCTTATTTACGTAGTATTCTTCTGATATTTCTAACTGATACTGATAAATTGATGACGTTTCTAACTGATGGTGCTTTGTGTGTATGTGTTAAATCCTTGAATGAAGTTATCTTCTTTCAGTCAGGCCGGGACCTTCAGCAGTATCAGAGTCAGGCTAAGCAGCTCTTTCGAAAGCTGAATGAGCAGTCCCCTACCAGATGTACGTTGGAAGCAGGCGCCATGACTTTTCAGTGAGTATGCCTCTGATTTCTTTGTGATCATTCAAGTACGAAACACAGTGATGTAACACCTTATAAGAGTATAACAATCGGGACTAGAAAGGTGGTTCAGCAGTTAAGAGAACTGACTCTTTTTGTAGAGGATCCAAGTTCAGTTCCCAGCGCCTATATCAAGTGGCTTACAACCACCTGTATTTCTAGCTCCAGGGCATCTGATGCTTTCTTGTAGCCTTTGAGTTATCTCACCTCATATGCATATGCCTCATATGCTCTGTTTTTAAATGTGCATTTAAAAATAAATGAACATACACATAGTTTTTTAATCCTTAAAAAATAATAGTACAATGTTGTTTTCTGTGTGATGCTTTATGTGTGTGCAGTATGCATGCCAGAGGACAACCTTGGGTGTCATCCTCAGGCTCCATCCACCGTTCTCTTTTTATCTTTTTTACCACAGTCTCTCTCACTGGCCTGGAACTCCCAAGTAGGCTAAGTTAGCTGGCCAGTGAGCCCCAGGGATCTCTGCCTGTCTCCTTCCTCAATGCTGGGGTTATAAATGTGTGTCATCACACCTGCCACTTAAAAAAAAAAAAAACATTCTAGGGATCAAACTTGGCTCTTCAAATTTGCAAGGTATGTAGTTTACCGACTAAGCAATCTCCCCAGCCCAGAATAACAGTTTCTTTAAAAGGTAGCTTTAAAAATACAGTCTCTTCATGGAAGCACTTTTTGGCCTCTATTTCTAGAAAACTGAAATCTAATTTCTTTTTTTTTTTTTTTTTTAGTTAACATGCTTGCTTATAGTAATTTAACTTGTTAGCCTGTGTCTAACAAATTCTATACTTACCATGCAATAATAGATAACTTTATGCTTTAGGAACATCTTGGAGCCAGGTGCAAATATGCCATTATTCCTGCTCACAGGCTTATTAACAGTGATACAGACCAATTCACAGAACATGTCCAAGGCATGGTTTTTCTTTTCAGAGAATTTCTCAGCAAGGATTTTAAGGGCATACATACATATTTAGCATATTTTTGATACATACGGAATAGACAATAAATATTTTAAAATTGTAAGAGTATTTAAAAGCTTCTAAGCCTGTGGCTATAGAAGTGGAGGGTTTCTGTTTGGTTTCCACTACTGGGGATTGAACCCAGTGCCCTCATGCATGCTAGGCAAGTACCCTACCCCTGGGTTATATCCCCAGCCATTTCATGGTTATAGATAATGCACAAAGCTAAGAGAGGGATGGAAGGAAGTGTGCTGCTTTTCTCAGTGCTGTACAGAAGTAAATTAAGGGTGGAGGGGTTTGTTTTTGTCTTAGAGAGGGTACAGTCCATCACGGCGGCAGGATGGGAAGGACTTGAAGTAACTGGTCCTGTTGTATCTGTAGTCAGGAAGCAGAGAGGAATACTGGTGCTCAGCTCACTTCATCAGTCCTGGCTGTCGGTCCATACATTACTGATATTTAGGGTTGGTCTTCCATCTTGATTAACTCAATGTAGAAACTCCCTCAAAGATATGCCAGGGGTTCTTCCAGGCATTTCTAGAGCCTGTTTAGTTGACAGTCAGTATTATCTATATCAGGAACTTTATTGGAGATGTAATTATCTGCAGATAATTGGTGTGAAATAATACATGCCAAGTTGAATCTTCAAAAAAACAGAAAGGATTGAAAAGGAAGGAGGTTACAGGAAGAGCACAACAAAATAAAAAAGGATCCAGTAAGTAAGCTTCGTCATATCAGCAGCTCAGATAGTAAAATCTTTTAGGACAAGGAGGAACTGCTTAGTTTAACCAAAACCCAAATAACAATACAGTGTTTAAGCAAACACTGTAGAAGAAAAGTACTTCATCTCATCAAAAACAAGTATATTTAAAAAAGAAAGTGGTAGACCCCATATTTTATAAGGTTATTAATTACATAGTCTCTAAGGCATTTTTATAGGTACTTTAATTTAAACACCAGATAATGTAGCCATTTGGCTGTATGAGTTAGGGTGCACCTGTAGTCTAGGCTGTCTGGAGGCTAAGGCAGGAGAGTCGCCTGGGCCCATGAGTTGAGACCAGCCTGTAGAACTTAGCCAAATGAATGCATATGTGTCCATTTAATTATATGATATAGTTATCTTCTATGTCCACAGGTTCTGTCTCCGTGGAAGCCATGTCGGTAGCCAAGGACCATGCTTTGAGAGTAGTTAAAAAAGTATCTGTACTAAACAGATGTGGGGTACAAACTTTTTTCTTATCATTATTTCCTAAACAATATAATAGCCATTTACAAAGCATTTATATTCTGTCACATATTTAAGGTGATTTGAACTCTACAAAAAGATACACATGAGTTTTATGCAGATACTGTTCTATCTTATGTAAGAGACTTGGGCATTTTCTAATTTTAGTAACTGTAGGTATCCTGGAAGTAATCCCTCAGATACTGTGGGGTGACTGTGTATCTCCACAGCGGAATAGAGAACGAAGAACTAGGAGAGATCCTGCAGACCTGGAAAGTAATTTTCTTCTGATTCCTGAAGGACTTTTACAATCTTTGTTTTTTTTCCTACAGAAGAGCTAGCAAAGGTTTATTATTCTTAGCCCTGTATTGTCTTGGGCCCATGTCTTGTAAGGAGCCAGTGCTCTTCCTGACAGAGGCATATATTCAAACAAGCACTGTGCTTTAGAGCAGGGCTGGTCAAACTTCCCACTTCCTATGCTTTTCTGTGCTCGAAATTTTTACATAACACTGAGTATAGCGGTACATAAAATAAGTATACAAATCAAACATTTACTGACTACAAATTATCTTTTAAATTTATTTTTATTTTTTGTTTGTTTTGTTTTTTGAGACAGGGTTTCTCTGTGTAGCCTTGGCTGTCCTAGACTCACTTCATAGACCAGGCTGGCCTTGAACTCACAAAGATCTGCTTGCCTCTGTTGGGACTAAAGGCATGTGCCGCCATACCCAGCTTAAAATTTATTTTTAGGTAATTCTTTGGTGTACAAATAAATTTGCTATTTACTTAAAACATAAGCAAATGTGCATGCTCATGAGATGAATGTGTTTTATTTTTACAGAAAGGGTTAAGTCTTGACTGAATCTTTTATTCTGCTGGGTGTAAAGTATATTCGATGTTTTTTCGAGTTTATTTTCATTTTGATTTTATAATCTTCAATGCTGAGGACACAGCTTTGCAAAACCATATTGTGCAAAATGGCAGAAGTATGGATAGGGCCATTTCAGAAACTGGTGGAAATTCTGTCCAGATTACAAGCCAAAAATTCATTTAATGAAATTTGCTAAAAAAAAAAAAAAAAAAAAAATAATGCAACTCAAGTCAACATTTCAAACAGGAACATTTGGAATTAAACATGCTAATAATAAAATGTGAACCAGGGTAGTGGTGCCGCCTTTAATCCCAGCACTGGGGAGGGAGTGGCAGGCAGATTGCTATGAGTTTGAGGCCAGCCTGGTCCACAGAGTGTGTTCCAGGACAGCCAGGACTACACAGAGAAACCTGGTCTCGAAAACAAGTACTGTGGCTAAAAGGTTTGAAAAGCTCATGTAGCTTAACTTTTCCCCAAGAATATTCTATAGTCACAAAGCTCCTTCCCAGAGTGCCAAAGAGCTCACTGTCACAAAAAGGAGACAGTTACATTGTAGAATGATTTCATTTGATTAGAATTCTTCTAGCCAGAAATAGGCAATGTGACTAGTTTTGAAGTGTCTTTTCTGTGCCAGTAAACATCTCACTTGACTTTCAGCTTTTTTCTCCATAAAATTTTAATTCTATTTTATGTTACGGCTGGCAGGACTTTAATATGTTTGTCATAGGGGGTCGGAGGGCAGGTGGAGTCATCATACCTGTAGCTCTCAAAAATAACCTTAGCTGTGAATATATATTAACTGAAAAGTTGTGTAATGATAAACCGCTTTTTAGATATTTTTTCTATTTACTTTTATTTATAGAAGTGTTTTACTTGTGTATACATGTGCACATTTGTGTATACACGGCATGCATGCCTGTTGCCCACAGAGATCAGAAGAAGGCTTCAAATCCTATGGAAATGGACTTACAGATGGTTGTGGGCCACCATATAGGTGCTGTAATGAACTTAGATCCTCTGTAAGAACAATAATGTTCTTAAATGTTGAGTCATTCTTGCCAGCCCTGTTCTTTTGGCTATATATTTAATAGTAGGAAGATGGTTGCTTTCTTGGTTCTAACAATTTGAGATCTGAAATGAACTTTTTTCACTTAGATCATTTCGGGAGTTGATGTAGTACTAAAAATCAACCTGAACATGAAGCACTGTTACTACATAGATAATTTTTTCTTGCTTTTTCCCTCCAGCTACATTATTGAGCAGGGGGTATGTTACCTGGTTTTGTGTGAAGCTGCCTTCCCTAAGAAGTTGGCTTTTGCCTACCTAGAAGACTTGCACTCTGAATTTGATGAACAGCATGGGAAGAAGGTGCCCACTGTTTCTAGGCCCTATTCCTTCATTGAGTTTGGTAAGATTGCACCCTGTGTTTCTTTATTAAGGAAGTAAACACTATGGAAAACCTTTTTGATGCACTGCTTATAATATTGACATGAAAGCCCAGGAATTTGTCTAGAAAAAGATTTGATTTGTTCCCCTCTCCAAATTTACTTTTTGTCTTTTTAAATTGACTTCTTACTAGTAAATTCTTCTGGTTTTGTCCCTTTCCCTGTAGAATGTGTTCTTTTGTTGTTGTTTAGTTTGATTTCTTGTTAGGGTCCTTGTAACAGAAATTCTACATGACAGTCTATTTGACTACCTTAAAATAACTTGAGTTCTTTTCTCCAATCTATAGACACATAGACTAATTTTTTTGGAAATCAGGAAAAATGATTTTTTTTAGTAGTAGTAATCTCTAATTAGAAAATATATGGTATTTGAAAACTGTTTACTACATTCAGAAACAGCAAGTGTGAGTGTATTTGCAAAGGAATTATGGGCAGGTTCAGCACCAGCCTTCCTGTAAAGATTGTGCTGTCAGTAGGTCAAAGAAAATGCCCTGTGCACAGTAAGCATAGGAAGTGAGAAGAGGCAGAATCAGAATACATTGCTGAAGTCTGTAGTAAAAAAAACAAAACAAAACATTTTTATGCCTTAGACTTCCTAAAGTTTTTAAGTTTGTCATACAGGTACATCACCTTGCTTTATGGTAATAGAAAAAAAATTGGCCAGATGCTAATTTATATGATATATAGTTTTTTAAATGTTATTTTTCTGGATAATAAGTCCAGTAAATCCAGGTGAATAAGAAAAGTGTATCAAGGTTATGAGGAAATAGACGCGTACCCACATTAGCTTCAGGGGAATAAAGACAGGAATGGACTATAAGGTAACACCAGGTGTGGGGACTTGGGACCACAAACAGTCATTCCCACCTTCAAGCTGAACATGCAGGGGAAGGAGCAGTTTATGAACTGAAAAGGAGAGCATTTGGGGGAGACCAACTTGTTGGGGCAGAAGCTTTAATCCACAGTGAGTCCTTAGGAGAGCGGGGGTGGGAGAGAAGGCCCTACCACACTGCCTGCTCCCTCCTACTGCTGGAGTTCCTTCATGACCTGGTCGGGAGCCCACTGATGTGCTCCATACAGGTCAGCTTCCCAAACTGTAGGAGAACGGAGTCCAGACAAAAGCCGAGTCAAAGGTATTGGCACACACAGCAGTAGATTGTTTTGGCAAAAGTTGAAAATATTTCTGATAGTAGGTCATTCCTACAGTTTTGAGAAATGCAGACATAGGCTGCAGATGAATGAAGCTAGAGTTCTGTACTGGATTTTTGGAAGCTTTCTATTATGTTTGATTTGAAGTTGAATCATAGGGTAAGTTTGGAAAGTAGACTGCTGATTACTAACTCTCTTAATATGCCAGTGTCATTTCAGGGGATGCATAGAATTAAGTGATTATACCGGAATACAGTTTGAAATTTTTCTGTCTTCAGGAAAGGTCTACTAGAATGGGTCTTAATATTTCTAAGGATTCTGATAATAAATGCCATGGACTCAGAGGTGTCCAAGGGAGAGTTCTCCTATTCTCTCTTAATCTTTTAGAGCCATCTTGTAGACGATGAGGTCAAAGCCAACAGTATATATGGCAGATGTAGGAATAAACTCAAGACTGTGGACAGTGGCTGCTCTAGGAATAAATTCAAGTTCTGATTACCTCCTTCAGTGACTTGATGGACAGGAAAATTGTTAATGGTTGCCTAATCATCATTCTAGATACCTTCATTCAGAAAACCAAGAAACTCTACATTGATAGTCGTGCTCGGAGAAATCTCGGCTCCATCAACACTGAACTGCAAGATGTGCAGAGGATCATGGTGGCCAATATCGAAGAAGTCTTGCAGCGGGGAGAAGCACTGTCAGGTATCTGAAAGCGATGTAGAGAACAACTTGTCAGAGTCTAGCTGGGTCTCCAGAACTCACTTACCAGATATTGCTTATGCGCCAAGCTTCCAATGTGCCTGGCATGATTAGGTTCTGTGTATTGGAACAATGTAAAGGACCCACCCAAAAGCAGTTACTGTTTCTAAGAATTTACAACATTAAGCAAATTGAACACGAATATTTGTACACGTTAAGGAAATTAAAAAGACAAATGAGAGGCTGTTGCTTAAGGATGTGTTACATCTAAGGTGTCTTTTTGGGAGACATTATGGATTATGAAATGCCATTTTCATCAAGGTATTCCTCTTGAGAAACATTTAAACCTGAGACTATAAAAAAGATCTGATCTGCTCTCAGCTTCCTTTATTCAGTTAGTTGAGTGTCTGTTGCATGGAAGGTATTGTCCTCCATACATGAAAATGAGGAGACTGCAAATAGATGACATTTTCCCAAGTTTACAGGCGCTCTGTCTTAGCCAGGTCAGCATCCGTGCTGTTTGTAACACTGCATTCTGACTAGGTATTGCCTGTTCTTCAGGAACTGAATAGGTGCTTGCCCTGGTCCTTGTAGGTCAGGTCACACATCTCCTACCTTGAACACTTAAAATACTTCATTGTACAATCTCTAGCATGTTCTGTGTAGTATGTCTGTGTATTTTTATTTATGTATTTTCATGTGTGCACATGAATATGGAAGCAAGGTCAGCTTTTGGTGTTCTTTTGTGGGTGCCATTCACCTTGGTGTTTTGAAGGGTGTATCCTTGGCCTGCGGTTTTCCAGTGATCCACCTACCTGTCACCCAGTGCTGCAGTTACAAGTGTGTGCCTCCCTAACTGACGCTGTTATGTCAGCTCTGGGGACTCAAACTCAGGTCCTCACGCTTGCCTGGCAGACCTTTACTGTCTGCGCTGTCTCCTCAGCCCTTTTTATTATTTATTTGCCAGATTTAAAAATATCTTTTTTATGTGTGTATGTGTTTTATTACATATATGTGTACGACTGTTGTGCATACTTGCTATGGATATATATAAGATGGGTATATATGGATATATATAGAGAGATATATATCGATGTATATCTCTATATATGGATATATATATCTACATATAGATGGATAGATAGATATATGGATATATCTATATCTATATATTCAATGTCAGAGGGCAAGTTCAAGTATTGATCCCTACCTTCTATGTTATTGAGAACTCATGGGATTTGTTTATTTTGTTTGTTTGTTTGTTTGTTTGCTTAAACTCAGACAGTGTCTCTCTATGTAACCCTGACTGGCCTAGAACTCATTATGTAGATCAGCTTGGCTTTGAACGCAAAGAAATCCACCTGCTTTTACCTCCCAAATTCTGGGACTAAAGGCATATGCTACCACACCATGAGACAGTGTCTCTTGGTCTGTGAGCTGGTCTGTGAGCTGGTCTGGGAGTTCTCATGTCTTCTCTCCTCACACTTCAGAGCTGCAACATCTGGCTTTGAATGCATTCTGGGGCTCTGAGCTCAGATCCTCATGCTTGTATGACAAATGCTTTATCTACCGAGCCATCTCTCTAGCCTGTGTCAGATACGCTTAAAGAATATAATTGTTACTAATGTGCCTTAAATGTATACTTTATATAAGTATAAAGTATAAGTATATACCTACATTTCACATAAATATTTAAATGTTTTATTTTTGAGATGGTCTTTAAACATTTTTAGATTAATGTATTTTATTTTATGCTTTTGAGTGTTTTGTCTGCATGTATGTGTGTATACCACATGTGTGCATGCGTGCACACTCACAGCGATCAGAAGAGGGCATCAGAGAGCACCTGGAACTGGAGTTAAAATAGTTGTAAGCCACCATGTGGATGCTAGGAACAGAACTTCGGTTCTCTAGGGGAACAAGAGTTGTTCTTAACCACTGAGTTATTCCTCTAGACCCTGAGACAGGGTTGTACTGTGTAGCCCTGACTTGCCTGGATTCATTTGCTTCTGCCTCCTAAATGCTGGCATTACAGGTGTGTCTCACTATACCCAGTTTATGTAAACATATTTAAAGCAAATTAAGACCGTATGTAAAATAAAGTAGAAATTTTTAGTGATCATGATTGAATTACCTAGAATAATTTTAAGTTATAGGTAGCTAGATAAAATTAGATTAAAATATATGTGATATTTAATGTGATGGACATGTAAGCTCTTCACTTATGTGTGTTTTTATGTGTAGTGTTTGTACATGTTTATGTGGGTGTGTACATGCTGTTGTGTGTCTGGAGGCCAGAGGTGGATGTCTGGTATCTTTCTCTGCTGCTCTCTACCTTATTTTTATTTTTGTAAGATTTATTTCTTTATTATTATTATACAGTACACACCAATAGAGGGCACCAGATCTCATTATAGATGATTGTGAGCCACTATGTGGTTGCTGGGACTTGAACTCAGGACCTTTGGAAAAGCAGACAGTGCTCTTAACTGCTGAGCCATCTCTCCAGCCCTCTCTCCACCTTATTTTTAAGTCAGGCTCTCTCACTGACACTGAACTTGGAGTTCCTTGATTCATCTAGGCTGGCCAGTGAGCTGCTAGTGTGAGTGTACAGACATACAGTGCCACAATAGGCTTCTGCCTGGGAGATGTGGATCTGAACCCAGCTCATCGTGTTTGAAGGGTAGTTTCTTTTCAACTAAGCCATCTCCACAGCTCCAGGCTCTTTGAAGAAGGATTTTTATGAGTTTTCTATGTTTCACATACTTTTTTATTTCTCATCATAATGGTTGCAGATCGATTCCAGAATAAGTATTTCTAGTTCAACTTTGCTGCATATTCATTAGCAGGAAGCTTGCCTGTATTGTGCACTGCAGAATTTAACCTTTATGTCAATAGCCCTCAGTTACTGCAACATATAGCTTTATACTCTCTAAAACCAAATTTGAGTGTGTGCATTTTTATTATAATAGGCTTAGAATTTCTACCTGAGATGGACTAACAAAAATTTTTTTCTTAAACCCAAAATTTATGTATCTCCATATATGCACAAGGTAAGAGTTCTCTTGTAGAACTCCTGTTTGCTGCAGGACTGACAGTTACACTGACTGACAGGGTATGCCATTCTGCCTTTAAGATTTGCCTTAGGGAGATAAGAACTATCTTGGAGTATATGGAGTGAGGGGCAGGAGGAACACAAGTTCAAGACCAGACCAAGTTCCACAGCAGTACCCTGCCTTAAGAGAATAAATAATTGCTTAAAATACAGCCTTGTATAGTCTTTCACAAATTGTTTTTAGCAAAGTTGTAATAAGCAATGGTTTTGAAAGAGATTTAGCAAGGAGAGAGAGAGAGAGAGAGAGAGAGAGAGAGAGAGAGAGAGAGAGAAGTTCCTGGGGCAGGGGCAGTGTGCACTGAGCCATGGGTACAAGCTTCTCAAGAGAAAGGGTCATGGCAAATGGTATTGAATACTGACTGTATGCCCTGTTCTACGTACTTGGGATACAGTAGTAAAAACATTAGTTCAAAATTTCTGTCCAGCTGGAGATCTGTGTGTTAAACAAAATGAGCCAGACTCAGAATGACAAGTACCGAATGCTTGCTCTCATATGTGTTAATGAAACTAGAGAGGGACTGCAAGAGCAGTGGGAGAAATCTTAAAAGATGGGGAGAGGGGAAAGAAGTTAGCAGAATTCCTGTGATGGCAAAACAAAGGACACCAGGAAAATGAGGAGAGGGAGGGAGGAAGTTAAAATATAAAAAAGCATAATGATACATATATCTAAATAATGAAATTCATTACTTTGTATAATATTCAAAATTAAAATGGAATGGGAGAAAAAGACTCCTGACCAATGGAGATATCTTGTAATTGAATGGCCAGAGAGACACCTTGAACATCATCATGGTTATTTTTCTTCCCGAATGTTTTCTGTTTTGACTAGGTTTTTCGTTATTGCTAGGAGCAGTTGCTAATTTAGTAACTGTTGTGCTTATAATGGGTAATACCATATTTCTCAGTCAAAGCCAGTCTGTTAAATAACTCTAAATATTCCAAAACATTGTGGGTTTTTGTCTTTGGGTCTGTTCTTTCTTTCTTTCTTTCTTTCTTTCTTTCTTTCTTTCTTTCTTTCTTTCTTTCTTTCT